GGGAGGGCTTTGTCCCGGCCGCTCTCGCCCCGCAGAGATCGCCCTCTGCCCCAACAACCACGAGGTCCACATCTACCGCAAGGACGGGGCCAAGTGGAGCAAAGTCCATGAGCTGAAGGAGCACAACGGGCAGGTGACAGGTGAGTGCCCGCCGACGGAGGGGACAGGGACACAGCTCAGAGGTGACCCTGCCCCAGAGCAGGTCCCAAATCTGGATGAGGGTTGTGCGGCAGGTAGAGGAGGGGGAGGAGGTTGTGTCTATGTCTGCTGGCCCCGATCCAGCATGTCACAAGGCGGGATGGGATGTGATGGGATGGGATAGTTTGCAGTGGGAGGGATGGGACGGGATGATTTGGGATGGATGTGGGAGTAGGGCAAAGAGGGACTCTGGGGCAGAGACAGCCAAAACAACTCTGCCTTCAAATGGCTTTGAGCCCCAAGTGATCTGTCCTCGTGGCTCCCTGGGCCACCATCACCCCCCTCTGCCTTCCAGGCATCGACTGGGCCCCTGAGAGCAACCGGCTGGTGACATGTGGGACCGACCGCAACGCCTACGTCTGGACCCTGAAGGGCAACGTCTGGAAGCCCACCCTGGTTATCCTGCGGATCAACCGGGCTGCCCGCTGCGTCAAGTGGTCCCCCAAGGAGAACAAGTTTGCCGTGGGCAGCGGCTCCCGGCTCATCTCCATCTGCTACTTTGAGCAGGAGAACGACTGGTGAGGCTCAGCCATGGCCTCAGTGGGCCTGTCCTGTGGGAGATGGATGGATGGGTAGGAGATGAACTGGGAGATAGGAGACTGGAGGAGTTGGAGGTGAGACAGGAGGAAAACTTGGGAGACAGAGAAGAGCTGGAGGAGATGGAGGAAGAGACATGAGGGGAGATGGAGGGAAGTGCTCCGACACCGTGCTGCTGGGGATGGGTCATGCTGTCCCCATGCCCTGGCTGCTGCTGCAGGCTGGTCACCCAGGGCACTTGGAGCCCCGACCACCCTCAGCCAGCCCCCCAAAAGCCTGGGGGGGGTCCCGGGAGTGGTGATGCTTCCCCACTGACACCAACCGCTCTCCCCGCAGGTGGGTTTGCAAGCACATCAAGAAGCCCATCCGCTCGACGGTGCTCAGCCTCGACTGGCACCCCAACAACGTCCTCCTGGCTGCCGGCTCTTGCGACTTCAAGTGCCGGTGAGGAGCGAGGGGGGGGTATGAAGCGGGGAGGCACCCCAAGGATGGGTTGGGGTCCCACCCTGGCGCAGCACAGAGGGGTGTGGGGCGGCCCGGTGCCCAGCCTTGCCCGTGGGGCAGGCTTCACCCCTTCAGGTGTTGCTGGGAGCTGGAGAAGGGGTGCAGAGGAGATGTGAGGGGGCTGGGGGGGGTGTCCCGGGGGCCCACCCAGTGGGGCACAGGAGTCAGTGGGACACCTGGCGGGCTCTGGCAGGGAAACTGAGGCACAGAAGGAGGCAGGGATGGAGGCAGCTCCAGTGCTGTGCCCGGGGGAACATGGCAGGGCTTCATCCCCCACCAGGATCTTCTCAGCCTACATCAAGGAGGTGGAGGAGCGGCCCAGCCCCACACCATGGGGCTCCAAGATGCCCTTCGGGGAGCTGATGTTCGAGTCGAGCAGCAGCTGCCGGGGGG